TTAAACTTTATTTGTTTATTTTATATAGAATATTAAAGTAAGTTAAGTGTTATTATTATTCTTATATTATTATTATTATTATAAAAGAATATTATATATTAATAAATTTTACTATAGAATCTAAGCTTAGCTATCTCTATTAATAAGTATATAATCTACTACTAAGGTTACTTATATAATATTATTAAGATACTTAAAAAACCTATTAAAATTAGTTTTAAGTTATAAGTTATTACCTAAAGTAGCTACTTCCTTATTTAGATCCCCTATAATAAGGCTACTACTACTAGTACTACTTCTACTACTATTAGTACTAAAAAAGAACTTATTAGTGTTACTTTACTACTATTACTAGAGGCTTAAGTTTAAGCTACTATAGAAATAATTAAAAAAGCTATTACTACTATTAATAAAAAAGTCTCTAATAACCTTTAAGTACTATACTAGTTAGTACTTACTTAAGTTATTATTATTACCTTATTATAGTAGCTACTTACCCCAATTACTACCCTACTTTATAGATTAACTACTTACTTCTATATATTTATTAATAATCTATTTACTACTATTAACTTTATTTGCTATTTATACTACTTAGAGCTATTAATAATAGTTATTAATACTACTTACTTAAACTTAAGGATATAGAAGCTACTTACCTAGCTATAAGTTATTAATAAGAAGGGGGATTATATACCTTAAGGCTTACTTTTTACCTACCTAATACTAAATAGTAAACTCTACTAATTTACTTTTAAGGATAATATAATATTCTTTTTAATTAGTAGTATATTTAATAGCTAGGAGGTTATTATTATATAAGTATAGAAGTATTTTATAACTATATTAATATTAGTAAAAACTACTTATATATTATTTAAGATTATAATAATACCTATCTTAAGTTAGAGAGCCTTAAAGTCCTAAAATAAGTATAAGAAGCTTACTATAGTCCTTTGCTATAAATTATCCTTACTTACTTTAATTAATAAGTATAACTACTATATAAATAATATTAATATTAGTAATTAATACTAAGCTAACTTAGTAGGTTTTATTATTTATTATAGCTACTATAATAGCTAGTAGCTTATTACTTTTAACTTCTTACTAAGTATATTAGGAGGTCTTTAGAGTATTTTATATACTAACTTTTATCTCTATAGAGGTTACCCTTACTAATATATACTTAGTCTATAAAGCTTTAAATCCTTTATATAAAAAGCTTTTTAATAAGTTCTATTATAATCTCTATAAATAACTTATAGTAAAGTTTAAGCTATAAAGTATTAGAGAGCGTTACTTTTTAATTATCTAAACTATAGAGGAGATCCTATATAAATTTAGATATTATAAGAAGTAGTAATACTATTATACCTATATAAAGTGCTTTAAAAGGATAGTTTTAAGGTTATTTAATAGAAATAGAGGTAGTAAATAGCATTATATATATTAAAGTTACGTTAAGTATAATATACCTCTATACTATATAGGTAACTACTAGGTAAAATAATATAATAAGGAAACTTAAATATTAGTATTACTATCTAGATTTTTCTAGTAGTAGAGAGGGCTTAGTGCCCCTATTACCTATATACCTTATGCAGAGTTAATTATGAATTGAATTAGACTATTAGTCATACACCCCTATAGCTGACTTTGAGCTATTTTCCGCACTTAAAGGGATAACAGACAACGGTAACGGCGACGACGACGACGACGACAATAACAACGATAACAATAGTCCTTTCCTCATAACCTTCTTTAGACTCAACTTAGAATAAAAACAGCGATCAAGACGATGAGAATGAAGCGGAGTAAAACGTACAACCACAGGAAAAGCAGTAGCTCTGGCACAAGAGAAATAGGCGGCCTAACCTCAGTACACTATCACCACCACTACCCAAACTTCCCTCCCCTCCCCTCTGCAACCCCATAAAATGACCTACGCCAAGGTCCCAAAACGCCCCCAACCCTCCCTCCGCCGAGAGAAAACAAGCCAGCAGCGCGCGCATCTCCCGTAATTGCGTCAAAAAAGGATAAAATCAAAAAGAG